GGTCAGAATCTTCTTTGCTTGGCTGGGCTATTACACTCAGATGCTCCTCCTGGCAGCAGTCGTGCGGGTGACTTGCTTTCTGTATGGATATTTTAATCAAAATAACTGTACCTGGAGGTAACTTCTCTTTATTCCTTGTTACTGAGCTTACTTAACTTAGAATGACATTCTCCAGGAACATCCATGTTGCTGCAAATGGCCCTATATTGTCAGTATTTATAGCCTAGTAGTATTCCATTGTATTAATATACCACTTCTTTAGCCAGTCATCCATTGATGGACATTTAGGCTGTCTCCATATCTTGGCTATTGTAAATAGTGCTGCTATGAACATTGGGGTCCAGGTGTCATCCTGAAGTAGGGTTCCTTCAGGATATATACCCAGGAGTGGGATTCCTGGGTCATATGGCAAGTCAATTCCTAGTCTTTTGAGGAAACTCAATACTGTTTTCCACAGTGGCTGAACCAAACTTCATTCCCACCAGAAGTGTAGGAGTTTCCCCTTTCTCCACAGCCTCTCCAGCATTTGTCATTTGTGAATTTTTGAATGATGGCCATTCTGACTGGTTTGAGGTGATACCTCATTGTAGTTTTGATTTGCATTTCTCTGATAATTAGTGATACTGAGCATTTTTTCATGTGCCCATTGATCATTTGTATGTCTTCCTTGGAGAATTGCTTGTTTAGGTCTTCTGCCCATTTTGGGAATGGGTTATTTGGTTGTTTCTTATTAAGTCATATGAGCTGCTTATATATTCTGGAGATCAAGCCTTTGTCAGTTTCATTAGCAAAAATGTTCTCCCATACTCTAGGTTGTCTTTTTGTTTTACTTATGGTGTCCTTTGCTGTGCAGAAGCTTGTAAGTTTCATTAGGTCCCATTTGTTTATTCTTGCTTTTATTTCTATTGCTTGGGTAGACTGCCCTAGGGGAAGCATTTCTGACATGTATGTCAGATATTTTGGCTGTATTTTCTTCTAGGAGGTTAATTGTATCTTGTTTTATGTTTATCTTGCTGAAGAGACTGTCTTTATTCCATTGTATATTCTTGCCTCCTTTGTTGAAGATTAGTTGACCAAAAGTTTGTGGGTTCATTTCTGGGCTCTCTAATCTGTTCCATTGGTCTATATGTCTGTTTTTGTACCAATACCATGCTGTCTTGATGACCGTAACTCTATAGTATTGTCTCAAGTCTGGGAGAGTTATTCCTCCAGCCTCTTTCTTTTTTTCTTCAGTAATACCCTGGAAATTCTATGTCTCTGATGGTTCCATATAAATTTTATTGTGATTTGTTCTAGTTCTATGAAATATGTCCGGGTAATTTGATAGGGATTGCATTAAATCTTTAGATTGCCTTGGGCAGTGTGACCATTTTAAGAATATTGATTCTTGCAATCCAAGAGCATGGGATACCTTTCCATTTCTTAAAATCTTTAATTTCCTTCACCAATGGTTTATAGTTTTCTGTGTATAATTCTCTCACC